AATTCCCAGGAGTGGGATGGCTGGATTATATGGTAGATCTTTATTCAGATTTCTGTGGTATCTCATACTGTCTTCCACAGTGCTACACCATGCGAGAGTGATATGCTGTACATTTTGCCGTATCTCCTCAAGCCACAGAGGCTTCAAGAGGACTCTAACATCCTTGAGCTTGTAGTGATTTTTTAGTAATCTTGTGACATGCTTTTCAATGGCATATTTTTGGGCAAACTGAGACCTGCTTCTTCCATGAATGCCTCTCAAGATAGCAATGAGTCAGAAATGACTGGCGCTTATTGCTCATGTTTGCAGCATGCACTGAGAGTGTGAGTGCTCCAAAAATTCTGTCCAAGGGGAACATTCTGGAGAGTTGAACCCACTCTCCGTCTAGACTTAGAGAGCAGTCACTACCCTGCAGGAAACTTACATGAACTTCCTTCTGGCCTGTGCAAACACAAGACTCATCTCAGCAAAGTGTTATGAGAACGTTCATGCTTCGTCGCAGGGAAGCAGCTGTGCATTGCCACTGTTATTAACTTTTGAAAGATGTTTAAGAGAGCTCCCCTTTCAGGTTTTAATACCACGGTGTATCCTCCTGCTTTTCTAAGTGTTACCTTCTTTCTCTGTAGGAGCAGAGGAAACCAGGACCAGTAATTTATGGCTCCTGTTAAGGGGGTTGGCTAGACGCGCGGACAATATGTCAATAATTATTTCTGGTGGGACCCTAACAGCAGCAGAAGTGTCTCTGCAGAATGGCTTATTTTAAGATAAGACAGATACGCCTGACCTGGGTTTTATGACAGATGTCAAATATATCGAAGTGTGTTGTGAAGCAGATCACCTTATTGGCAGAGAAATGAAAGACCACCCAGAAGACGGATGGGAAGCTTTCCTTGAGGGTTTTCTCATCTCAGTGCAGGTACAGCAGTGAACTCTAAGAAGGGCTAACAAGCAGATGACAGTGGATAATTTGCTGAGCAGTGGGAGCATCTGCCTATCCATAAGATGTGGACACAAAAGTCCCTGACCTCAGAGGAACACTGGGAGAGGGCGGAGGGTGGGGGTGAATGGTGGTTTGCCCAGGAGCAGCAGGGGCACCACCATAAACACTCTGAGAGCCTCCTTCTCTCTTTTACCCTAAACACCCCCTGGACCTATTCAAGAGGTCTGTTCCCCAATCTTCCTTCCTGAGTTCACTCAACAGATGCTATTGGAGGGTCCACCAGGGGCTGGGTGCTGTGCTGGGCACTGGCGATTAGCACTGAATATGACGGTATTCCTGTTGTTGTCCCCACCTTCCTTCCTCTGGGCCCCATCACTGGAGGGTATGAGGTCTGAGGGTCACTTATTAACTTTCCAGGGGCCTAGAGTAGCTGCAGTCATTTCTTTGAGCCTCCTTTTTCTTAACTGGAGAAAGGGGCTCATGACTCCAGCTCTACAAGTTGGAAGATGGAAGTTAACAGTGACTTTATGCTTGGCCAGTTGTAGGTGGGGAGAGAGGAGCAGGAGCCCAGCCCTGCTGAGCATGTCCCCACACAGAGCTTCTCATGACTCTTGCGGGGTTAGCTTCCTCCATAAAACCGCTGTAAGAAGTAAGTAAGCATTGCGCATCCAACTTAAACCAAGGAGTTGGCAACAGAAAGAATTGTCTTGTTCAGAAACTGGCTACAAAGTTCTTGACTAGATATACAATCTGTAGAGGAGGAAGTCATTTTGCCCAACTTCTTGCCTTTTTACTCAAAAATATTGATTTCCAGATAATTTATATCACTCTTTACTGAAATGATACTTCACTAGACTATAAGCTCTCCTAACGCCTATACCTTGAGCTTCCTTTACCAAATATGGTTAGCAGGAAACTGCTCCTTGTGAAGGGTGGATTGTGAAATGGCTGCCTTTTTCATTTGCTGCTGCTCTTGGTGGGAGAGGAAAATGATGGTGTCCAGCTGCCCTTCAGCTGGGCAGCCCTGTGTTTGGTGCTTATGCATGCAGTCTTTTCTGATTCTATTTGTTAGACTAACTGGTGTGCATAAAATGATGGTGCTGTTTTCAAAGAGATTAGTCATTGCAAAGATGGCTAAGTCATGGAGGAAATGCAAAAACTCACCACAATGATATTCTTTTGTCCTCTTAAAATGTTTCTTCCTTTGAGTCAATCACAAAAGAATATCATGTTTTGTTCTTTTTGGTTTTGCTGCATGTAAATCATTAAGTGATACGTGTGAGTGTGCGTGTGTGTGTGAGAGAGAGAGAGACAGAGAGAGAGAGAGAGGGAGAGAGAACTGACAAACTATGCTTAGAAGATCAGAGGGAAACTGAGGCAGCTCAAATGAGAAAAGAAGGAAACTGACATTTTTATCCCCATGAGAGTCCCCAGGATTAGGTGAGAGAGGTGAAATAGGGAAAAGCATGAAAGAAAAGTGAGTTGTGATATTGAATACTTGAATACTAACATGTATTTTTCCTATGCTTAATGATACTTTAGATGCTAAAAATGTGTCAAGAAGAGAAATCTACAGGATGCGGGTCTTGTTGCTTGCCATCTCCCCACTTGATCTTTTGACTACTGTGACCCACAGAGGGGAGGTGGGATGCAACCTGTTCCTGCAGATTTTATCTTCCAAAGCAACTGCCAAGGTTGTTACATGTGTTCACCATTGGCTAAAATTTTCCAGGGAGTAAAGAGTGCAAATATCCTAGAATGAAAAAAGCAGGACCTGATTTAATATAAAAGAAGGGGGAGGGAAGAAAGTAGGAACTGCAAAAGGAATTGCTGTGTCTATGAAGCAGCTGCCTCCAGTAAGACCCTGAGAGCTCGATTTGTCCCTCCTTGGCACGGAATTGAGTTGCTATGCATGTCTGCCTGGGGTTCAGTGTCAAAGGACAGGTGACGTTTAGTCTGAATCTAGAAATGTAGAATCTATCCCTGGGCAGAAGGAGGAGCACCTGACTTTTCAATCGCAAGAGGATTGCCACAAATTTGTGTTCTTTCACTTCTTCTTTCTGACATTTTGTGTCCCTGCTACTCCTTTCATTTCCCCTTGAACTTGTATTAAATTTATTACATGCTCTTAAGGGAGAGCCGTTCTCCAAGGTTTACTGAGGAATGAGATGCTATGAATAATAAAGGGGAGGGGGAGGGTCACCATTGCTTCACAGATCCAAACTCAAGTTTTTCTCAAGTACTTCTTCCATTCTTGAGACATGTATACCCTTCTCCTCCAGGAAGCTCAAAATCTCAAAGGCCTTTATTAACTCGATCTTTGGGAATAGTGATTTAATTTTTCCATAATCATCATGCAAATTGATCATGATAATCTCTTGGAAGGAAAATAAGAGAACCAATGGCCTCATTAACTCTGATGCTAGGGGACCCGTGCTCCTAAGAGCTGGTGCCCTTACCCCAGAGTGCCCCAGAACTTCTTTGTGTGTCACGTGGTCCAGTCCCCAGCGGGAACTGTGGTTTATACTCTGGCTGCCCTGTTTAAATTGCCTCATTCATTTTCCTCCCCTACAAAATAATGGGGAATAATTCTAAAGGTCCCAACCTTACAAAGAACTCTTGTATTCTGCTAGATTCCCACTGGCATCCCTAACTCTCCTACGACAGAACAAAATCATAGATGCACAGACTTCATCCAGACCTCACCTTAGTGACCTTGAGGTCTCAAATTGCTAAACTTTGGGCAATAATTTGAATCAGTCAGCATCTAAATGTATGGCTTTTCTGCACAATTTTGAATGCTGTTCTGTTGAATTAAGAGGACTTTTCTAGGAGCGTGTTTTAATTTTTTTTTTAATTTAACACGGAGGATGGCAGAGACAAATAGTTGTATCCAAAATATACTTAGTATCATATTTTTGAGTTGCTTATTAATTTTGTGTCAGTGGTCCCCCTTTTTATTTTTACAAACTGTGAAACTCAGAAGAAATCAGAATCAAATGCAATACACCTTTCTTGATTGCCTGCCATGTGCCAGGCATGGAGTCCAGTGTTTTGGAATGCAGCCTCACTAATCCTTATCTGACAGAGGAGGGTGAGCAAGTGAAACAGCTTGCCCAGCTGGGAAGTTGCAAAGTCATTTCCACATCTTCTGCACCATTAAAAATTCTCAATACAAGCTTTTGAGAGTGAAGTCCATCAGATCTATGTAGAGTTAGCTGATGGCTTTTTCTCTGTGGACCTTGTCTTGTCAATGAGTAGTAAGGAAGTTCTGAGAGCTCTAGGGCCCCTCAGACAAGGACATTCACATGGTACCAAACCCCTCGGACAGGGACAGTCAGTACCTCCCACTGGCATCTATGGCTGCAAAATATCCCTTTTTCTTTCAGGAATATTGCTCTCTTCTAGTGACATACTGATGTAGGACTGTATCAGTCCGATTTTCATTAGTATAACAAATAACTCAGGGAAGCTACTTATGAAGGAAATAGCTTTATTTTAGATCATGGTTCTGGAGGTTCACACTCCAAGACTGGGTGGCCTCATGGTTCTGGCATCCGATAAATGTGATGGAAGTGGAATGCATGTGGAGTGAAGATCACATGGTGAGCCAGGAGAGAGGCAGGGAATATGTGTTGAGCCAGTGAATATGTGTTGAGCCAGCAGGATTGGTCGTGGAGCTTCAACCTAGCTACCTAACCCAATCCAATCACTTCCCAAAGACCCCACCTGTAGCTGCCATAGCCATATTTGGATCAAGCTTCCCCCCAGATCATCAGCTTAAATGTCTCATGAGTTGGAGAGCCAAATCCTGTTCAAAAGATTTCATGGAGGATGCTGTGGCTTGGGTGAGGTTTGTCCCCTAAGCGTTCATGTATTGGAAGCTTAGTTGTCAGTGTGGCAGTGTTGAGGTGGAGAGAACTTTAAGAGGTTGGACCTTAGTCACTGGGAGCACCATCCTCTAAAGGAGCAAGATGGTGATCACGGGACCCTGAGTTAGTTCTTGAGCGAGGAAGAGCCAACTTGAGCCCTGAATGTCTCTCTGGGTTCCTGTCTCAAGATGTGATCTCTGGCTTCTGCAAGTGCTCCTGCTGTGATGACGTCATCTACCAGGAGGTCCTCATTAGAGCTGGACGAAAGCTGGCCCCATGCCCTGAGTCTTCAGAACAGTAAGCTAAACCAGCCTTTTTTTCTTTATGAAGTAACCCAGCCTTAGGGGTTTTATTATAGCAACAAAAAGCCAATTAATACAGAGGGTATACATGAAGTTGGAGGGCGGGGAGGAGAAACCAAACAACTAAGTGGACTAGCTGAATGGATGTAGCCTTCTGAAACACAACAAGGAAACGCATATAAATCCCTTTGGAAAACCCCTTTGTTTCAGCTGCAGTAAAGGAATAGTTTACATGATTTTAAAACCACTTCTTCCTCTTTGGAGACATTTTTATAAATATATGTTGGTACTTACTATATGTAAGACAATGGAATAGAATAAGATGAATTATATCTTCTATTAATATTTGTTGAATGTCTACTACATGCTAAGTGTTGTGCTATATCCTCCAGAGACAAATTTAGATGTGCCTAATAATGTTGCAGGACAGTGGACTCATGAACAAATGCCTTCAAAATTAGAAGGATGACTCTCAGCCAAGCAAGCACAAAGGAGTGGTTTGAGGAAGACTTCAGAGAGACAGGTATATTGTGGCTAGGTCTTGAAGTTATTAATAATGATCCTTTAGATTGAAAAGCTGGCAGAATACATCCTAGTTCAAAGGAACTTCATGTTTAACTTGACAAAACAGGAGTATGTTGTTGCCTTGGAAACACCTACCAGTATGGTGTGATGGGTAAAGAAGTGGTACTTGGTAGAGGAGAGCTGATACTCCAGTTAACGTGTCTGGTAAGATGGTGTTCCAAATGATTCTTGCAACAAGGCTGGTTCCTTGAGATGTCAGTTGATATTATCTGGAAGTCTAGGGGTTTTGAGGCCATATGAGAAACTCTAGGATATGCCATTTACAATGGTTCTTTTCTGAAAGACATCTCAGAGCCTTTAATATGTTGCTACTCTGCATTATAAATTTCCAAAGGGTTGTCCTGAACCTATTTGTCTTTCCTTGCTTATTGTACACACAGCATTCTATGGATCTCATGGTAGAAAATGCTACTTTAGTGTAAGGACAGTTGCCAGCAGTCTTTAGAAAGTTTCAGAGAGGTAACCTTGGATACCTGGGAGAAAAAATACAATGGTGAGAATCTGGCCCATAGGCCACCTATAACTAAGGTGCTGAAATAATCTAGGGTTTAGAAAACAAGAGTAAGAATTAAGGCAGTGATGATGGAAGGAAAGAGATAGAACTGAGAGACACTTAAGACATAGAGTGGATAGTCATAACCATCAGGAGGTGAAGAGGAACAGGGATTGAGGGTGACTCCCAAACTTCTTGTTGGAAAGCTTTGGCAGGGAAGGGGAAATGCTAGGTAGAAGATGAAAACTTTGATTTAATTTAGGATGTGTTATAGTGAGTTGTCTCTGGGATACACAGATAGACCAGGTCAACTCACAGCCAACAGTTGGGAATAGTAATGTGCAGCTCAGGGCCCACATGAACATTATTTTATATCTCTAAGAAGCTTTAGGTGACTATTAATGTAAATGTCTTAGGGATCCTCACGATTAACATGGTGTTGTTCGACCATAAATACATAAAACCGCTGATGATAAATATATAAAACTGTGTTTAGTAGAAAGTAGACTGCAAATTATTCACTAACTATATTCATTGAGATCCTAAGATATGCCTAGCACAGGAAAAATAAGCAAAGATGGACAAAGACACAAGCCCAGCTCAATTTTCTTATTGTATTAAGATACAACAGTAGGTCACAGTGCATATGTTAGCTTTCTGACCTTTCACTTGCTATGTGACCTGGGACAAGTTATACAACTTTTAAAGCTTGGGTTTCTCCATTTCTCAAATGTTCTTTATAGAATATTCCTTGTAGACTATTAGCATCTTTCTCAGTAGGGAGTTGTGAGGATTAACTAGGGTTCAACAAAAATTATTTACTGTATTTTGAATGTATAAAATAAATTTCTTTAGGAAATAATGTATGCAATGTGATCTATTTAACAATTTTTACTATTACTTCATTTAGTTTCCATTTAATACCAAATAATAATCTGTCTATTTGAATTGCAAAAATCAAGCTGGTTTGAATTAAAGAAGTGTGAAAACTTTTGAGTTGGCAAAATACATAGCACTTCCATCAATTAAAATATGTAAAATGTGTTAAAAATAATGAAAAGTTCATGCTTTAATTGAACTGGGTTTTTCATAAGCCTATATTTTTATGAAGCTTAATGAAACAAAAATTGAAATTGTGCCCATTATGAAATCTGTGTTAATTGTTATTATACCTATAAAGTTCACATAATTAAAAAAAAGTTTTGCAGTTATGCCAACTAGAAATGCACAGTACCTGTCTTTCTTTTTTCAGTTTATTTTTGGTAATAAAGACCCATATTCACCTTGGCAGACAGAGTATTTATAGATTGAAAACTTCCTTTAAACACATCAGAAATTTTGACACAAGATTGCCAAAATTGGAGGGTATTTTTTGCCAATCTGACAAAACTTTCTTTGTCCTTCCTGGCTTTGTCAAGAGTAAGATTGTTTCTCCACTTGCCTCCAATCTTGTCATAATCTTAAATATCATTGTGCTAGAAGGCACTCCAATATTAATTAAAAATACAGTCTAATTATTTACCCTAGTTGGTTCATACAAACCTCTCTAGTATAATCAGTGGACTCCCTTAAGGGGTTTCACGTATTTCAGAATGAAATAGGAAGGTTTGTTGCTGCCTTACACTTGGCTCACCAGTGTAATTACCTGTAACCTACAATTCACCTTTAGGTCACTAGATCAGAAATAACTTATCTGGGCAATGTCCAAAGGTCCGTGCTGATGTTGTTTGAGTGCTGGTGGGCGGCAGACATAAATGAGTAGGACTTTTAATTTACCTCCAGGCATCTCAGAGAATGTTCTGGGTGTTTCTAAGAGACAGAGGGAAAGCAGAGGGCAGCCAAATAGGTCATTCATTTTAAGACTGTCCCCAAGATAAAGCACTATAAGCCAAGCTTGAGAGCAGATCAGGTGCCTGGAGGTGTTCCCACTTCTGGCCTTAGTGGCAACCTGACACTGCAGAGAAATCTTTCCTAGCTGTTTCAGGTGTGTTATAAAGCCTCCTAGGGGTGCCCAAGGCTGAGTCATCAGGGGAGGTTGACCTGCAGAAGCAAAGCAATGGAGTGTATGGGTACAGCAGAGCTGTCAGGTCAGTGTTCAAACCTATGTCCTTGGGCTTATCTGCTTTAATAAAGGAGAGATTTCCTTCTGAAGGAGACTCAAAGGGTCCACTGGTCTACCCCACAAATATGTTTAAGGAGTGACAATGACAAAACCAGCTTAAGGGCATAAAATGTCCCACCTACTTCCTTGATGTATAACCAGTGTCTAACAGCCCTACTTAGCCTGAAACATCGAGTGGGTAGGCTTGGGAACCTGTGAGCAGCACAAGCAACCCAGTGAAATGAGAAGAGTTGGGGTAATGGGAAACAGCAGTACACATAAAATGGTTTGAGAGTCTCAGAATTGAAACTCGTTAGAACTCAGAATAGCTGAAGTGTACCTTCACTGAACAACTGAGAAGAGAAAGGTAGATATGGGAGGTCTTGAATGTCTGGACTGTTCTTTTGAAATGTACAAAGCCCATGGGAGTGGTTTTACCTGCACGGGCAATTAAATTCACCTTAACATCTGAAGTGGGAAAAGGTATTTGAAAGGACTTTCCTGATGGAAATCAATCTGAAATTATTGCCAAGTAAAGTTAAGAATTCAGAGTAGAAATGGACTAACTGTCTCATAATTTGACAGGTGTTAGCAGTTAGGAAAGGAAATTAAAATGTGGAAGATGTACATGAATCAGATATGTGATGATGCCTCCTGTGGGGTGATCAGTGAATAGGGAAAAGGTTAAAGTGACCAAGGATCCTGGCTTTTTCTCCCTGATGAAAAGTGACAAGTATGATTTTAGCAGCTGAGGGCTCTGATCCACAGAAACACAAGAGCGGTCAAACAGAAAGGACTATATGTGCAGTCAAAAGCTTTTGTTTCATAATGTTTTCATCTTGATATTGGGGATTAGACTACATGTTGATGGTATCCACTAACAAGCTTTCCAAACACATCACTTCTGATCCAAGGAATGAACTACTCATCTACCCATTGACTCAAAAGCAGGTATGGAGCTCCTGTTGCATGCTTCTTTCTCTGATAATCAGAAACAGACATTCCAGCGACCTCATGGAGCTTACAGTCAAAAGAATCCAAGGAAGGAAGACACCTGCTGTGCCCCTGGGAATGTAAGCAAAGGGGAGAACAGCAGGAGGCATAGAGGAGAGGTGGACAATGGCCAGGTCTTATAGGTCCTCTGGGTCAGGGGAAGTGTTTTATTGTTAGTATGAAGAGTAAGGGAGGTTCTGGCGCCGTGGCTCACTTGGCTAATCCTCCGCCTGCAGCGCCAGCACCCTGGGTTCTAGTCCCGGTTGGGGCGCCAGTTCTGTCCCAGTTGCCCCTCTTCCAGGCCAGCTCTCTGCTGTGGCCTGGGAGTGCAGTGGAGGATGGCCCAAGTGCTTGGGCCCTGCACCCGCATGGGAGACCAGGAGGAAGCACCTGGCTCCTGGCTTTGGATCGGCGCAGCGCGCAGGCCACAGTACACCGGCCGTAGCGGCCATTAGTGGGATGAACCAACGGAAGGAAGACCTTTCTCTCTGTCTCTCTCTCTCTCACTGTCTAACTCTGCTTGTCCAAAAAAAAAAAAAAAAAAAAAAAAAAAAGAGTAAGGGAGCCTAATGAAGGGTTACAGCACGAAAATGAGTGATCAGTCAGATTGAAAAGTGGAGGTTTCTGTTGGCATCATCACAAGGGTTCCCAGTGCCCAGTTTCTTCCTGCTGCCTGTGAAGAAGGGGTTCACTGACAGTTTTGGAGAAGGGATGAGGGCACGAGAGCTGGGGTAATGGTCACCTGGAGAAACAACAGTGGATGAAGAGGCCATTCTTTTCAGTTGAGTTTGGACCCTTAGTGCCCTTCCACTGGATCACAGGGGCTCTTGTTTCTTCTGGGTCTGATGTGTGTCTTTCCTGCCAGAAAAAGATCTCTAAGAATTGATCTTGTCCTGCCTCCATACAGAGCCTCCCCCAGATCCCCAGGGCTGCAACTTCAGAGCTCCTTAGTAGAGCCACCTTGGCTCTCTCCAGGACAGTCTCTATCAACTTGCTGACTGTTATGGTCCAGGGATTTTGCAGCAGGCCAGTTTACCCAATAAAGACAAAAAGCTAGGGAGGATCCTCTGGTCAAATAAATTGGTACAACAAACCCACTCTATATCCTTCCTCTCACTGAGATTCATAATGCAATTAACCTCACAAAAGGCCCTGGGAAATTGTGAAAAAATTTGTTTAACCTAACACCTTCCAAACATGATCAGAATCAATGGCCGTCTGCACACAACAACCATCATTGAATAGTTCAGGAAGCAATGCTTCATCTAAACACCTTACGCCTGCTGTGATGTCCTGTTTAACTCCAAAGGTGCCCCATGAGCTTCTCTACCAAGTTCTCTTTAGCTGCTCC